ATTCCAGTAATACTCATTACTACACCAACGCTTTCAAACAGTGCACATCACAGTACCCCCATTTGAAAATATCTGGAAAATTTCCGGTGATCAAGATATGATTAATAAGTCAGGTTAATGGTTTCCGAATTATATCTGATGTTTCTTCGATTATTCTATTTAAGTAGTGAACGTCAGCGCATGAAGAATTTTTCAACGATTTGGTGGTATCCTTAACTTTAGATTGGATAATTGGAAGTAGAAAGAAATAAGATGAAGGTGCTGAAGAATCCTTGAGAAATGTGGTAATTCCTTTTTAGGAATATCAGGTAGGGAGTTTATGATAGATTGGGCTACTTGAACAAAATGATAACTTGCCAGCTAGCTTTGGACTTGTTTTCCACCAAACGAATAAACCATAAGGAAAATAACGCCGGCTGCCACTGGTAGCCACAAACCAATTGTGACGTTGCTAAGAGCGCGCGAATGTACGATATTCGCTGCCGTTCTAGATGTAGCGGTAATAATGCTACCGGCTTCGATGAAATTCAGAGGAATGTTCCGGCGCCTTCGATTGCTAAATATAGGTGCCATTCACTCGCCCATCGGGACAGTCAAGTGGAAGTGACAGTGCGGTACGCGAAATGATCTAGTAATGCGATAGACATTCGAATAATAGTTGAAGTTTTAGTTGAAGTGTTTATTGCATTTCAAGTGAAATAAAGTTAAGTTTTATTATTGTCCAGTGTAGTCAATTATTGGTCAACCCACAGGAAAAAACGTAACAGTATGTATGTTTTTTAGCATTTTTGATGTCTTATACCTTCTTCAACAGTTCATAAACTCTCAGTCACATCCAATATTAGTTTAACATTGACAAGACTGATCTTTTAGATTGGATAATTGGAAGTAGAAAGAAATAAGATGAAGGTGCTGAAGAATCTTTGAGAAATGTGGTAATTCCTTTTTAGGAATATCAGGTAGGGAATTTATGATAGATTGGGCTACTTGAACAAAATGATAACTTGCCAGCTAGCTTTGGACTTGTTTTCCGCCAAACGAATAAACCATAAGGAAAATAACGCCGGCCGCTACTGGTAGCCACAAACCAATTGTGACGTTGTTAAGAGCGCGCGAATGTACGATGTTCGCTGCCGTTCTAGATGTAGCGGTAATAATACTACCGGCTTCGATGGAGTTCAGAGGAATGTTCCGGCGCCTTCGATTGCCAAATACAGGTGCCATTCACTCGTCCATCGGGACAGTCAAATGGAAGTGACACTGAGGTACGCGAAATGATCTAGTAAGGCGATAGACATTCGAATAATAGTTGAAGTTTTAGTTGTGTTTATTGCATTTCAAGTGAAATAAAGTTAAGTTTTATTATTGTCCAGTGTAGTCAATTATTGGTCAACACACAAGAAAAAACATAATAGTATGCATATTTTTTAGCATTTTTGATGTCTTATACCTTCTTCAACAGTTCATAAACTCTCAGTCACATCCAATATTAGTTTAACATTGACAAGACTGATCTTTGATCTGTCAGCTCATTATCAAACCAATTCATCAACTGCTTTTTGTATGAAGATAGTTCATCATTTTTATAAATCTCTCTTTTATACATTTCTCGTAGATTTATGGTAGTTATATTTATTATATATATCGTAGAGGATTATATTCCCTACAACTTTTGTTTGAATATTTTTTATATCTTGAACCAACTTTCGAAATAAAGGGCAGGGTGCGCGTAGTGTTCAACTATTTCGAATTTAGAGTATCATTCGTGAATATCTCAAATCCAACAGCACTATTTGATAATGATGGAATGAAAAAAACAACGAAGTCGTCATTATATGACAATATGACAAATCGATTTTGATGTTAATGAAAAACGATGTGTCATCGCGTTGTATGGAGTAGAAAAGACACTTTTTCTATTATTTCAGATAAATACCAGAATTATTCACAAAGGCATTATGGTTCAGAAATTGTTGTTGTATTTGATTGATACACAGACTATAATGAAAACATAAAAGCAATGGAGCAGAGGAAAAAAACTGCTGCCATTTCAAAAACATACGAAGTTTGTTTCGGCGAAACCATGGTTGTACCTTTTACCCAAAAAACTAGAGAAACTTCTATGAAATAGAAATGATAAGAAAAGATAATTATTATGCTTGTAGAAAAATGACGAGCTGTTGATATAACAACAAAACAGGCCAAAGATGATGCGGATGTTCTTATTATTGAAACAGCTATTGGCGAATGTGGACTGTGAAAAACTGCTGTTATAATAGGAGAAGATATATATTCACTTGGCTTACCCCATCTCATTATCAAGAAATTTTCTTCAAAAAAGTTGGCATAAGAAATGTAAAAACTTAAATATACTATTCCAAAAGTTTTGATAAATATCCTTTTTCACTGTGACACTGTTCACTGTGGCTGTGAGACGATTTCTGCGCTCTTTAGAAAAAGATAAAAAACATTTGTGACATCACTCGAAAAACTTTGAGTTTGTATCAAATTGCTGCAGAATTTGAAGAAGAAAACTGCACGGTTCAATCAATATTTGAGAATGGAATGCTTTGTTGGCAATCTATGATGCTCCAATATCTGAGGACTGTATCGATCGTCTTCGCTATGCACAGTCAATTAAGTTAACACAACTGAATAAACCTGTGCAGTCAAATATTCCTTCAACTAGTACAGCAGCTCAATAACATTTCAACCTTATTAATTATCAAGTTCAGACTTGGTTAGGGCATGATTTAGAACCCCCAGAATTGGAGTTGGATTATGCGTGATGAATTCCTGGAACTTGTTACGGCAATGAATCCACCAGCTCCGGAGAAATTGCTCAACACAATATTCTGCAATTGCAAGAATGGTTGTGGTTCGCGATGTGGATGCAGGAAAGCAGGGATGCAGAGCTTTTAAGCTTGCGCCCAGTGTGATGGGCAAACTTTTGATGCTTCACCTGAGAGTGATATCAATGAAGACGGTACTTTTGACCCCGAAATTCTGGAAGAATTTCACAACGACTGAAAGACGATGATGAAGAAGAAGAAAATGGAAATTGAAAATGTATTTTCCTTAATAACTTTATAATCACACGAGTAGGAAAGTGTAATTAAATTATTAGATATTGGATTATTGGAAAAAATATCAATTATAACGTTATAGTTTATAAACTTTATACTACAAAACTTTATTCTATTATGATTCGAAATCTAAGAAAGAACAGTTTCCATCTTCATGAAAAATGGGAATCAAAACTTCCTATGTTTTATACTACTTGTATTTGTACTTAACTTTACTGCAATTTCGTCCTAGGAGGACATTTTTGAATTGTTGAGGAATGAACAAGAATTTAATCTACATCACCATGTATTAGGTTTTGTTTTATTGATAAAAAATGAAGTTGTTGATAGAGTTGTCACTGTCAAGTTGGTTGAATTAATTTTTTCTGAGATTTGTATATTTATTTTCAGTAAAGTTCACTGTTGAATAATCCTGTGTTCGACCTTAAACTCAACACGAATTTTTCAATTCGTTTTTCTAGCTATTCGTTTTTCTAGCTATTGACCGTAGGTAGTGATGGAAGGTTTTGACCCATTTGTGACCCATTTTCTCAAACTTCTTTGAAAAGCTTATACGACTTGTAAATGTTATTCTGACTAAGAGTGAAATCACCATATGCCACTCAATATTTCAAGTGTTTTTGAGCATTAAATTAAATTTTTTGCACAAAATTCGATGCAAATTCTTTGATCCATTTTTTTCGATAGCAGAAAATCGCCGAATACGTAAAACATTTATAACTTTGCCTGTCACCAACAAACTGTACATCCTAAACAGCTGAAACTGAGAACGAGTGTACCAACATGAAAAACCGCTAATCACCGCTAAATCATATCCAAAAACATGTGGATTCGTTTTTCGATGGCATTCCAGGAGAGCTTCCCAAATTTCTGCTACCGCAGTTGTCGGTTGATTGGTCAAAACACCAACACTGCCATAAAAACTTGGCAAGTTGACTTGGGTGTCAAACCAATAGGTGGTTCCATTTATGTATCACTTGCGTTTACGCAGTTATTTTTATCAAGTACTTTTCTTGGTCATTCCCATTTTGTCCCCTCAGTCATGAACCCATTTGTCCTTCTTCGACAAAAATTAGCCGAAAGGGTAAGGGAGCTGGGCTCCATCCCGATTGAACTGAAGACGTTGGTCACTCAGTCCCATCTTGTCTTCAATCGAAGGACCGCCTGCCCGGTACTGACGATGCCCAACATGCTGAAACAGCTGTCTACCGTTGGCTCTTAATTTGGAATCAATATGGGAATGATCAGAATAGTACTTATCACTTATTTATTTTTTGATTTTCATGGAATTATTTTCCAGTAGCTTGATTGCATTAACCTTTCTCGATTTTATATATTATGTTATATATTATATGAACCAGTGATTATCGATGTTATATTTTAGATAATTATCATTATCGACCATAGGTACGTATAAATGTGAATTGAAGATGACAATAATAATTTATAAGAGGAGAAGAATAAACAGAAATCATTTTCATGAAAATATATAAATATAAATGAAATCTATCAATGAAGTGACCCATTATTTTATGAAAATTAATAACACTTTCCATGATGATAAATATTTTTTCTCAGTTATGACTTCACTAACGACGCGTTTCATGACACAGTGTAGTTTCCTTAATCGAAATGATGAAAGCTACCAGCTTGACTAGGCATGGGTAGCGAAACCCGTCTAAGGTGGGTCGTCCGTATATTCACTTAGTATTTTGAAAAAAGGCAAGCCAAAATAATAAATCGACGAAATTTTCAATGTTGTTCATTTAGCTCATGATTTGCTCTACTTTATGGACGTACTTTAATCAGAGAGTGATCTTATGAAAACCGTTTTATTGATATGGGATTAATTATGCTAAGCTACTCTATCAATTCACTTGAACCTTTCGCACCTACTTTGACGTGAGTAAACTTAAATCTTTTTTAGGTATAAATATTCGCCAATTTTCATAGCAGGAGGAGTCGTCAAGGAGTCGTCAAGGAGTCGTCAAAGGAGTCATTTTTTGATTTTTGGTAAGTCTCAAATTTGGAGTCGACTTTATCGAATTCACATTTTTAAATTCCGAGAATTTCAGTTTGATGTATTGTTATAATGGGAATTGTGACTGCAAAGACGAATCCAAAATTATGTACTTATACGTTACACAAAGTATTTTGTTTCTAAATTGGAGTAATAATAGATAAAACGATTTCTTAAGATTTCAATAGAAATATATTTTAATTTTGTACAGAATATAATTATCAAATGTTGAATTGAGATATTGATGCAACTGAAGTGAATTTGTATTAAATTGATTTTTTGTTGGTTTGTTTGAACATAAAATTTATAATTAGAAGATTTTTCTGGCATAAGAAAATCAAAAGCTATTAATTTTATGACATTATATGAGTTACTTTTACATTTCGCAATTTTGAATATTATTTTTATAATTTCTAATGCTGACTATATGAAACTGAAGTTTCGAAAAATTATCAAAATTTAGGTAGTTTATTGCATGTTTCGAAACAATATCTGATGTTTTTTTTTCATTTGGATAAACAATATTGAAACGAAAATTATCGGAATATTTGGTATTATGATTTTCAACTGACAATGTTTTGAATCTATTTTGAAATGTTAATTGATTTGTATATTAATTTTTCTTTTTCATCACGCTTTTATTAGCTTCATCTGTATGTATATATGTTTGTTTGATATATTCTATTAAACCACATTTTTAGTGGAATATATTGGATTCATCTACAAAAAATATTTTGAAATCAGTTCGTGAAGATCTTTCAACCCTTTGATCAAACTTTGAGACGAAGCAATTTAATACAAAATGAAAACTATAGACTGAACAAAAATTTTGCAGAACTCATAATTGAGTGAATAAACATTGCAATTAAATTGAAAATATTATTATTTGAGTGACAAGTAAAATTTTACTGTTTATTTGAAGGTGATTGACTTCCATTGTCTGATATAAAAAATAATTTGAAATCTCTGATGAAAAAAGAATTAAAATAACAATTATATTAAGCAAAAAACATGAAATTAAATAATAGTGAAGTAAATTACGAACAAAAATAGAAAAATTGAACAAAAAATAAAATGAAAAATAAAAAGTTAAGAGATTTCAAGCCAATTTATTTCACGACGTTTCGATTGTTAGTATCTACAATCGTCTTCGGGTGATGACTGGGATTTCAAATCATTTTAAAAATATCAGACAATTGAAGTCCGAACTAATTAAATTCAAAACTTTTACTGTTTTACTGTTCAGTTAGTTTTTGGTAACTTGGCCTTTGCGATATAATTTTATTATGTTCTTGAATTCAGTTTGGAGAAAAGTTAGAATCGACTGAAAAGTAATACCAAATCTTGCAATGTTTCGTCCCGTAATCACAATTTTTCATATAATAAATACTCATGACTCATATAAAAATGTATACTTATTCATCTAAATTCCTTTTCTTTCATCAAATCAGATTATAGTATCAATAGAAAACTCAAATAGATTTGCAAGAACATATAAGAATGTTTAAATTGAAAGGGGCATATTGTATATTTTTTTGTATAAAGATGGAGAAGTAGAAAGCCAAAACCTTTTTTACTATATTAGAATGTGTTTGTATTGCAAGTGTTTCTATTATGTTGCAATAAACAGTCACGTACTAACTCGTAAAACGTAAAACTCCAAAATTACTTCTATGGATTTTTAAAAAGTAACTGACGTTGAATATTCCGTTGATTATTTTTCGATATTCTTTTATTTGATGAAAACTGTGTCAGAAAAAATGTTAGAAATATTGTAATGTTTAATAAATATCCGTATGGTCGAAATGAATACTATTTTGAGGTGGAAGTTTGTGGTGGTGGGTAGTTATGTGAAATATTGAAAGATATCACAAAAAATGTCAATATAAATTCTCTCAATTTCAGGAAAAATGTTACCTCTGCTAGTGATTTTAGTTTTCCATTTCTTCGCCGAAATCCAAGGGAATTTTGTACATATTGACAAACCGTCTGGTGAGTTAAATGCTTCAAATAAAAAAATAGAGAAACTCAGAAATTCACAATATTGTTATATTCAAACATTTTCTAGTAATCCGACTGATTTTAACCACAGCAGGATTGGATTACTGTAATAGCTAATAAGATATACTTTTTCGTATATCATAGAAAATCAAGGTGAAAAAAATTAAAGTTTCCCCATATTCCATTTTTTCCTCTTCCTAATGAAATCTGACCAAATCAGAAAATATATTCTTGAAAGGATTTACTTGAACTGCTTTTTCCGCCTGAGCTCTCTTCAATAATTTAGACGAAAGCATCAGCAATTGTTCAGAAACCGAAACACTTTGTGACACCTCGTTGCTAACTAACATAGGTCTGAGCCTCACACGAAGTAATTGCTGAAATTCTGGATCATTGAAATAATACTGAATCAAAAAGAATTAGAAGTGATTCAGAGGAATCGGATTTATTGAATGACCGAGCCAGAATAATTAGCTGCTTACATTCTCAAATATTTTATCATTTAGAATGTATCACCAGGACTATCAACTACCCACTTTTTTCAGCACTCTCCAGAAAAACTAAAAAATTGATTATTTGAATTTATCGATCTATAGTTTTTATGAGAAAAATGTAGTGAAAGAAGATGCATTTTTACACATGAATATTGGAATACTGAGGTTTTTTGAAAAACTATCGGTCTCTTTGAAATTATCTCTCAATTTTTAGCTTTCAGATTTTCTGCCAGAAATATTAATATAAAAATTATGAGTAGGTATCTTGAAATCTACCTTATATTTTTCCATTATAATTTGTTATTAGAAGATATTAATTGTTCCTAAAGAAAAATATCCTGAAGGTCGGTAGCCGGTCGGTTCGACATGGGTGCTTTGTTCACTCACTGGAATTTATCGCCCTGTTGGTCGGTAGTTCAAGCTCCAGGCTGAACGATTGATTCTCACGTTAAAAGGTAAGATCTTGTTAGTCCAAGTTTCGTCTTCTGAGGGTTGTCATTCGTAGGGGTGCGACAGCTGGGTAATGGAAAAATAGAATCTTCAAACAGAATTGAACAATTTTCATTTCATTTTAGTTTCCAGACGCGTTTTACTAACACACAGTAATAAAATACGGCTTGAAATTGAAATATTTGTGGAAATATTATAATTATCATCACGGATAGTGTTATTAATTTTCATCAAGTAACGGGTCAGTCCATTCATAATTTATTGTTTTAACGATTTTCTTCAAAAATTATAGAAATTTGAAACCCATAAAACGTAATAACCGATAAATATTTATGAGAAATATCTCCTTTCTTTCGGGGCGTATATACTTAGGGACGAAAGTTTGGATGTCGAACTAAATTGATGACAGTAGCGAAGAGAGAAAATTACTCAAAGAAAATAAATATTTCAAGTAAAATTCAAAGCATTCATTTCTCTTATCTATATTACAAATAATTATGAAGTGGAAAATATTGCAGATTAACACTATGGATCCAAATTACATTATTGAAACAAAGTTTACGGACAAGCTTATATGTCCATTATGCCTGGATCAAAATGTTTGTATCCGAACCACAAGATGAGCATGATATCCGAATTTTCCCTGTCGAAAATTTGAAAAAAAATTGATTACTGAACCCCTGTACCCCTAAATAATATCCAGTTCGATATTGATCCCAGAACATCTATGTGAGATCTGGATAAAATAAATTGACTTCAACATATTTCATATAATTGTATATCATATAAGAACCAAATTATCATAATGAAAAATGAGAATTGAAAGTTTCTATATTTTTAACCACTTCAATTTGTAACTAAAGCTACTGCAGTTTCGCCCTATAAGGACATTTTCAAACTTATACATTAAACTAAAAATGTTACGGCTACATCCATCAATTTATTGAAATTATTATAAACTGAAACTTTCAATATCCAGTTCGATATTAATTCCAGAAGATTAGCTTTTTTTTTGTAAAATCCTTGAGCGCATCTTGGTGGAACCAACAGAAGTTTTGAAAATAATTCACTTCAACATATTTCATATAATATTCTGATATAATATTCTCAGAGCTTAATTATTAATAACTATTCTTTCAAAAATTGATTTTTAAATGGAAACCTTCTATATAGGATACGTTTTTTTAAATTGATATTTACGAAAATGTTATCTATTTCAAAAATTTTTAGTTATTGAAATATTACTAATTCAATATTTTCATGTATATTATTGAGGATTTCAGTTAGTTATGATGGCGTTAAATGAAATACATGAGTTTGGCACTGAGATAGCCTATAGCAATCAATAACGTCGATCAATTCAACGTCAATTTTATTCAAAAGAAATTCAAATATACTTTGATCCGTTTAATTCCTTTGATAAAAAAATCCTTAGATAACAATAAATTGAAATGAATTTTGGCTCAAATTGACGTGGAACGTCTATAATTTTGGATTAATTCGTTGTTTGTTTTACAAGTAGACTAAAAACTTCACTTCAGTTCGTCTCATGAGAGTATGATTTATGATGATTCTATTTTTTTAATCTATTTCAATAAATTATATCTCCATATTGGAAAACAAGTGAGTTGAATGATTATTTAAATAGATACTGAGAATAGAAAGAGAGAAAAAGGACAATGGATTTGAGTCAGACGCCAACATGAATGGCAGACTCAGATCTTCATCTGATCAGAAGTTGATCGGTCTTCTGCCTTCCTTTCTATTTGAATATTTCTTTTGGTCATTAGATTTGTCATAATGAAATTAAGTCGTTGATTTCTCCCATTCAGGAATTCAGATATTTGGTTTGAATAAATTAAAATTGTTGAAGTTACTGAAAGTGGTGACTATTAGGTATATAATATGATAAATTTTTTTATCTCCAGGATTCTGGAAAAGTGAGATCGGTAGGAAGAGGTGATGATATAATATTATCAACATAAACTTCTAAAGAAAAAGTACTGAACAATTTATGTTCTTTACAAACCTCCCTTCTGATCTTAGGAATATGTTGTGATGGATTTGTGATGATATGCAAAAGGATTTTTTAATTTTGATATCTCAGCCAGTGATTCCATGTGATACTTGTGTTTCGTCCTTAAAAAAAACTGGATTTGATACAAATTGAATAAAATACTTGATAGTTATATTGATAGTACTTGTGATCTTTTTGATGTATTCGCCACAAGACCAGATGATTGGGATATTTTCTCTGTTTATTCAGTTAATCTAATTGGAGTCGAACATATTATGTCCAACATAATCAAGTTATTGCATGCTATATTTTCAACTTTTGTCACAAAAAGATTTGATTTCTTCCAATTGGTAAACAAGTATTTATATTACTATAACCAAGTTTTCATTATCAGTTATACAGGCCTTTTCTTTTATAATGTGGTAACATTGCTATATTATAAACCATAACAGATATGAAGACGATTAAATGGGAAAAAAGGTAACTGCTATCGGGTACAATACAATGGTCGAAGAAAATTTACGGGGACTCTTGCCCTTCTCGAGTTATACGGGGAAAACAAAAAATGCTGTTTCTCGTTTTTTTCGAATGGAATTGTTATTTCGGAGGATATCAAAAAATGGAAAAATAAAATGTTATTGTATTCGAAGTGTACTATGACGATGTAATAATGCATATTCGATAAAACGTTTCGTGTCAACATGGCCACCTTCAACTTTTATTTTAATACGGACCTGTCTTTTTTATTACAGATATTTTGATAAAGCGATAAATTCACATTCGATATTTTTATAGCGTTTCATTTGAAATAACCACCATCAACAACAATCAAAGAGAAAAACAATTTATTTCATCATGAACTTTTGGGAAAAATGAAACCAATACGGAAAATCGAAGCTGCATTGCAATCTACATTAAATGCCCGAATCGACGACCTCTTTGTTGAATGCACATAAGTTGTCGGTTCAGACAATTTCTGTGGCAATTTTCTAGCATAAAAGGTGTAATACTAATTCATGCATCTCTTATTTTTTGTTTGAGATGGTCGATATCTATACTTGGTGTTGAAAAATTTTTATCCTTTATGTATCCCCAGACAAAAAAATGTAAAGGAGTAAGATCTGGGGATCGAGCTGGCCAGTTAATTGGTACATTGTTTCCTATCCATTTTCTTGGTAATATTGCATCTGGATGTTCTCTTACTATTGCTGCATTATGGGGAGGAACGCCATCCTGTTGAAATTATTATACTTCATAGCGGATTTTCAGTGGCAATTCATCTTAGTAGCCATCGAATTCATTGAATAGAAAATGAAGATACATTTCACTTATCAAATGATCATCGTAAAAGAAAGGGCCAAGGATGTTTGTTCTCACAATTCCCAACCAAACATTTATTCCGAATCTTTCTTGGAAATTGGTTTCTCTATGCAAGTGTTCATTTGTATTATTCCATCTATAATGGATATTTCTGTTAAACCAACCATTGTTGGTGAATTTTGATTCGTCCGTCCATATTATTTTTTATAAATATTTCCAACTTCCCTATTTCTACGACTTAACCACTACGCAAATCGTACTCTCCTTCCGTAATCCCTTTCATTGAGGTGATGAACTTTGCGTATCCTGTAACATTTATATTTGTTTTTTTCAAAATAGTTCTAGTGGATTTCACAGAAATCCCCATTTCGTGGGCAATTTCTCGTGAAGAACAGTCTTGATTAGCATAATTTTTGTAACTGGCCAATCCTAAATTAAAAAAAAGATGTTTTCACTGTGTACATTTTCATGTGTTAATATTTGCCCATAACATTTATTTGATTCCTCACACTTCTAGTAACCACACATTTTCTTGTTTTCTTTCTGTCAAATGCACCATAGTCCCTCAAATTTCTTTCTAATCGTCTAAACATTTGGATGTTCAGAATGCGAGGATTCGGGTATAGCTCAACATACATATTCCTTGCCAAAAGAGGGATTTCTATTTGATTTGGCATAATTAAATAGCATATCAGTCCTTTCATCATTTG